CACCATGGCAAATTCCTCGTATGTGTCAACCTACTTGGCAATAAAGTAGGTTGACACAAAAAAAACAAAAAACAATAAAGTTTCTGTTTCTGATTGGTAATGCAAAATGGCCATTTTCAAAAATAACCTCTTTTATATCAATATTGATTATAATTCATGATTATTTGTGTGTTACTGAAGTACCTCAAAATTGTACTTTAGTATAGTACTTAAGTAAATATACTTATTTACAATCCACAACTTAAATCAGCATTCACCCGTTCAAACAGAGGCAGAAAACTAACATTCACAAACACTCACTCACCGTTGGCCATGTCATGGAGCAATTATGGGTTAAGTATCTCGCCCAGGGATACATCAATGAATGGCAGAGAATAATGTCTATTTTATGGTCCTAATGCCTGATGGGTAACAAGAATATAATCTTCAGCTTCAGGTCTGGGACCCTCCTCAGCTCCATGACCTGTCTCTGAACCAGAAGCCCCTTTCCAAGAAGAGCTGCTGCAAATAAAACAAGTTGCTTCAAGCTAACTACTCGCCTTTTTTGTCTCTCACAGTTAAATCTACCTTTGTCACTCTCTTTCACCTGTCTCCTCTTTGCTGTGAAATACTCATCCCGGGCCGACAGACTGTTTCCTCCAACATTAGCCATCAAACATGAAAGCTGGGCTCTGACTGGAAAATAACACAGTGCAGTCTCAGGTCTAATTATGCTGGTTTAGTTTATGACCTGTCAGTTAATATCCATTATCCACGACTGCAGAATGATGAGTAGCCTTTCAACTTCAGTGTCCAGCTTTCTCATCACTTCCCAGACCAGGTGGGAAGGAGTGTTCACTTTTTCCTTTCCTCTTATGTCTCTTTCAAATTGTGTAACTTATTGTTTTACAATAAGTGTTTACTGTTATTTTGAAGGCAGACTAATACTATTATTAGAGAGCGCCAAATACCTGAAACAAAGGTTAAAAAAAACCTTCTGCTTTCGAATAACTTTAAATTTGAGTTCATCCAAAATATATAATTGCATGTGTCTCTATTAATATTAAGAACGTGTTTTGGGGCAAGTAAAGGAGTATTGTCACATCTACAGTAGATACTAGGGGTGTAACAGTTCACAAACATTTCGGTTCCGTACGTACCTCGGTTTTTTAGGTCACGGTTCGGTTCAGTACGTTTTCGGTACAGCAGAACAAATTATCACAAAACATAAAATATATATATATATATTTTAATTATTATTAAACTGTGAATAATGTATTCACTCAAATAAATACAAAATATAATAAAATAAACATTAAGGTGCAGCATTTCGATGAACTGAAATAATCTGTATTTGAACTGTACTGTACTAGCACCTAAGCAGCCAGCTTGACATTAGGACTTGCTTCTCATTGTATTTTCATGTTGTTTAAAGAAAGATGAACTTGTCCACATTGCTTGCTGAAATGGCAGATCTGCTGGCACTAACAATGTCTCCTGCTGTGGAGAACACCCTCTCGCTAGGGCAGTGGTTCTCAAAGTGGGGGGCGCAGAGGCATGCCATGGGGGGGGGGTGGGGGGCGCGAGAGACCAGGAGGAAAAATGGTTATATAAAAAAAAAAAATCATAAATTGAAAAATTATTGATTCGAAAATAATATGATACAGTACTATTACGTCTGGGTCTCTGTGTTTCATTAAAGCTCGGCTCTGTGTGTGTGTGTGTGTGTGTGTGTAGTGTGTGTGTGTGTGTGTGTGTGTGTGTGTGTGTGTGGATCGAGCGAGAGAGAGAGAGAGAGAGAGAGAGAGAGAGAGAGAGAGAGAGAGAGAGAGAGAGAGAGAGCGCACCGGTAGCAGATACAGCCAGGTAGTAGGGCTGAACGATTAATCGATTTTAAATCGAAATCGCGATTTGAAATGATGCGATTATCAAATCGCAAAGCCTGCGATTTTTTTTAACTTTTTTTCACACCAATCATTGTTAATCAATCAGAAGTAGCCCATGATAGAAGGTGATAGACAGATTGATCCAATCACCTGCCAAGTGCTTTTGAAAGTGCCTGCCCTTTCCAAATGGCTTTCCTAGATGGTTTCTGAGTCAGGTTAGTACTGCTCCATCACGTGTTTCTATTACAGGGTGAATCTTAAACTGAAGCTTGACTTTAAAGCAACCCAACGGAAGTTTCATGTAAGTTTAGTTTTTTCACTCGTAGCTCGGGCTGCGGGGGTGCTAGAGACGGAAGCACGTTGATACGACCTTCCTAGCCGGAGTTCTGGCCGCATTTTACAATAAACTTCCGTTGGGTCGCTTAAAAACAAATATCGCAATTCGAATCGCAATATTTGTCAGAAAAATCGCAATTAGATTTTTTCCCCAAATCGTGCAGGCCTACCAGGTAGCGCTGTGCTAACATGGCAACATAAGGATATTTGGCGTTTGTAATAGCTTTGGCTCGGTCTGAACTCTCTGCGAGTGGTGGAGGCTTAAATGCTAGCGGGAGTTGGGTTTGCACTTCAGTCTTTTTTCTTTTGGTACCGGTGATATTCACGTTCGGGTGATGCCTTTCCAAATGAGTGTGCAAGTTTGATGTATTGCCATCCGCGTAACCAATTTTAGTTGAACATTGCCGACAAACAGCTTTGGTACGGTCCACCTGTCTTTGTCCGTCATCCTTGTACGTAACTGCGAAACCAAAATGTTCCAAAACCGGAGACTTCAATGATGCTGGAGGATTTTCGAGCTCAACTTTATCTGCGTTCGCCATTTTGACAGTTCCTCAAATTACTGACTAAATTTGAACGCATCCCTGTGACCAGCTCTCGTAGTATGCCTCTCGTCCAATTAAATGACTTGGTCGCTCTATGACGCGTTGAACCCAATGTGAGCAAATTACTCTGAATGCTGCGACGCAGCACCTGAGATTACTTCCAAAAAGTTGTTCACGTTCTCAATTTTTTACGTTTAACGTTATATTCGTACGGTACACTTCGGTACACACGTGTACCGAACCGAAGGGCCCGTACCGAATAATTTAGGTACGTGTACCGTTACACCCCTAGAAGATACCATTATATTAAACAATGTGTACATGAATGCAAGAGTAATTTAAGGCAAAAAATGATGTTTTTTATATCATAGTAATGTTGTTGCCTAACTATATTTAGCTCTTTTCATGTTAAAGAAGACATATAATGCGCATTTTCAGGTTCATATTCGTATTTTGTGCCTCAACTGTGACATGTTTACATGCTTTAATGTTCAAAAGTCTTTATTTTTCTCATACTGCCTTTCTGCAGCACCTCTTTTCTGCTCTGTGGTGATTGGTCAAACGCTTAGAGATTTCACGCCCATTAACCTATCATGTACAATGTGTTGGAGCGCTAGCCAATAGAAGTGTTAGTGTTATGTAATGATATCACTATGTTACAGAAGAAAACAAAGGAGTCCAATGGAGGCGTTTCAGGTAGGGGGGCTGGGGGGATGTGTGGGAGAGAAACTCCCTCTGGAGGGAACTTTGGGATTTTAGCCTTTGCAGACCATTTACATGCACACAAACCTATACAACACACTACAGGAAAGGTTAACCACACAGAGCATACTAGGGCCTCTTTAACAGTAGTAAGGTGTTAAATATCAGAGGAATAATGGATAATTTCCCTTCAGATGCTTCTGTTTCAGGGTCATGGTATTGTGAATTCTCGCTCACTGTCACACTTTGAAAATGAGACACTTCATAGAGGAGAGCCATCGTATTGTTATCGGTAACACCTCTGCTTTTCCTACTATGACAACTCAAAACATCTGCTGTATCAAAGGAGTACTTAAACACATATTCTAGTGACATTTTTGTCAGCTGATGATCACATCACAGATCTATCGATGATAACAATTTATATTATCATTTGATGTCACAGTTATCCTTTTAGATAGCTTGAAGAATCTCTACGTGCACAGGTATTTAGAGAGAATTCAAATGAGATGCTTATTTCTGAAGCTGGTGTTTTTGTGCGAGCGGAGATGATCCGTGACAGCTAACACCTCCCAGATGTGAGCTTATCATCAGCTGTTTAGAGTGGTGTGAATTCCTCGGGCCTCAAGCTTTTGGCCCTGAGTGTTTCTGAGCAGATAGGAAGAGAGAGGCAGTGCAGGTGCAGATGTAGCCTTACATCCTGAAGCACATGATGATAAGACTGAGAGGACCCGTGTTAGTACTCGTGTGAGAGGAATCTCATCCATCAGTGGCAGAGAGAGCAGGAGGAACCAGAGGAGGTTTGGAGCAACCGCTTTTTTCATAATTATTTACAACAATTGAACCTATAGATGAGCCAAAAGATTGAATGAAAATAGTTTTTTTAATCGTTGTAATATTTGGGAGGATTTTAGTACATAACGAGAGAAAAAATACCTACAGTACTAATCTCTGACATTGAAGTGCAGAATGGTTACATATTACTTTTAAATAAAAGAAAACTAAACTCAATGTCCGCTTCATAGTCGGATTGAGTTTGCTCAGTTGTCATCATGTGTCATCACCTAAACGCCGAGCTTGGCCCACCTCATAATGAAGATGGAGAACATGACATAGTTAAAACATGAAATAAGCTTTTAAGTGGACCTTGAGATTATGTCATTGCTGATAGAACTAAAGGTACGTAACACACACAAATCAAATCAAACTAATTAACTATAAAAGCAATAAAACGTCTGAATGATATATTTATGTTGTAATACTGACATTTTGAACAGGCAGGGAGGCTCAGTTTATGGGTGCAGCTTTCATCGTGTATTAATAAACTACTGGACGCCACACTCAATTTGATTTACAGTTTTATGGATATGCACACACTGGCAATAGCTCCTCTATTTTTAATATCTTAATTCAGGAAGGGAGCTGTACTCCTGCACAGTAAATAAGGTCTGCAGACCTGCATTGCATGATGTTCTTTCTTTTGCTTATGAACACCTGAGCTGGTTGAGCAGTACAGCAGCAGCAGAGCGCTTGGCCACTTAGTGAGTCTTACCGATTTCCTGAAGAACGGCACATGGTCAGAGAGGTGGATATCTCACACCGGACACTCGAGAGGAACGTCCCAGACGATGTTGTTTCTCTTCAAATCTGTTAGAAAGAAGCAAGGGTTTAACAGTGGAGTGTTTACAAATGTTTATTAAGTTTGCAATGTGATCTGATTAGTTTCTTCACATTTTACAGTAAGAGTTAGTCAATCAATAGTACCACCAAGTCATTTTACAGCCAGTAAGGAGAAGATACAGCATGTGCTATCTCTAATATGGGTGCAGTGAGCAGTGGCGTTTTCTCCCGGAGGCCAAGGGAAGCCAGGCTTCCCCTGTTTTTCGGATTGTAGTTATAATTTAAATAAATAAATAAAAACACTTTGTTTTGTTTCGATAATTCTCCTTTGCTGTGTGTTGCTGCCGGTTGCTGCCGGCCCGTCTCTCCCCCATTCTCATTGAGTATTTTACAAAGAGTGAAACAGCGCCCCTCTAGATGTTATGGTGAAACAGTAGATTGCACTCACTGTTGCGAGAGGAGGCCAGCCGAATCTGGCTTCCCTTGGTGAAAAGGGATTGACCAATCAGATGAGGCTCACGTGATGCCCCTGCCAACCTGTGATTGGTCAGGGCCATGCCAAGGGAAGCCAGAGGCGACTGGCTTCCCTTGCCTCACAATCCAATCAAATCGCATCAATTTAGTGTTGCAGTGACGCATCCTAAAATTCGGAAGTAAGCTGCTCTCGGTTTCCCTCGACAAAAAAGCAATGGGATTTCTCCATAGGATTTAGGAAAATAGCTCGAAATAAGGTCAGTGGAAAACGAACCTGTTAGATAAATGCAAGTTTTGTTCAGTCGGATAATATCCACATGTCTACCCTACTTTTATAATTTTCGAATCATAAATCTAATCGATAGAAGATAGATAGCGTCACTGCATCACTCTCACCGCCGTTAGAAAGTAGCAAGCAACTGAAGCAAGTGCAATTATGGAGGGTGGAGATTTAGAGTATTTCATCAAAAATAATTGTACTAAACTTCCGCTACAGCAGCAACAACAAATACAATCTGATGACAGGCCGATGCCCAAACTGGAGCTGTGTACAGCGAGGAAAAAAGGAGCGAATCGGACGTAAAACGTTAAAGGTCTCCTGATTTAGTTTGTGAATGAATGCTTATTAGAGTTTCGGCTGGAGAGTGCGTGCGGACCTGTCGGTTAGATAACAGTCGTGTGTAAGTCCTGCATCTGATACAAATGTGTGTAAAATGATACCGGGTGCTGTTATCACTCATCTGGTTACGTTATTACATTGACCACCACACCCCTGACCCAAAAGAAAGGACGTATTATTGGCTTCCCCTAATTTTTTTCCCACGCCACGCTACTGGCAGTGAGTAGGATGTGTTAGTTGCGGTTTGTAAACACATCGTTCAAATGTGTCCCTCTCTCCAAGGTTCATTGAGAGTTAGGGTTCTAGCCAGAGCCTTGCTATTTTTGTGTACACCATTTTTGCTTGCTTCCTCTTGGATGCGTGCTTATGATCTTGCACCGGATTGCTACATTTGATGTTGCCCATGACTGTGAATTTCCAAGCAATTGCAGTTGTACACAATATGCCTAGAAAGAGTGAAAGACTGCCTAATTGTATGTTCTTATTGATGAGGAATATATTTATTTCGGCTCTAGTTTTTTATTTTAATTATTTTAGCCTTTACCTCTCCTGTCAATCCTCTCTTAACATGCTCAGGCAAACGGCCTTTGGAGAGTTGTTTCTACCGGTATGATCACACAGACTTGGGCTGCCACCACAGCTGTGTCTTAGACATGACCATGAAACAATCTTTTCTTGGACGCAACATGCAGCATCTTCTAGTATCATTTTGATTATGAATTGGGAGTGATTACGTATGAGGGACAGGGGAAGAGAACTTCAGAGTTGGTTTGGGCAGGGTCTGTGTCACTCGGTGTCTCAGCAAATGCCTCAATGCCGTCAATTCTCCGGCCGTAACTTTCAACAAATATTCAATGTCTGATATCAATTTGAAGCTCTCAAGTGTACTCCTTGAGTTTGGGTCCTTTGTTTCTTAACCATCAAGCAGGTCTACAGCAAATGTAACAAAACAGTACAGTATGGGATACTGCTTCTTTCAATCCTTATTAAATAAAGACATATGATATAATCTGCAGATAAGTCTAATCTTTGTGTCTCAGTTGGTACAAGGAATGACAATGACAAACTTTAAATATCAACCTTTCTTCTGACTGAAGTCAGCACTGTTGCTGTTGTTCTCATTTGTCTCCTTCAGCGATTCCACAGAGGTCTTGTTGGAGACGACGCCCTCGTCATCAGTTTTCTCCTCCACACTCAGCTCCACAGGTGGAGGGGGACTCTGCTCAACAGCTTCCTCTTTGGGTTTGTCCTCAGCGCTGTCTGGAGGAGAAACCAGAGCTGCAGTCTCGGCGGGATCATCAACAGATTTATCAGCTTCAGCTGTGAAGGACAACAAAAAGCAAACTTGCTTTTTCTTTCTCTGAAAACAGTTACAGTATGAAACATATAAGTTAACATGATTTAGTAAAATAACACCCAGCTTGAGACATAATGGAAGACCCTGAAAAACAACGACATTCCTTTTCAATAGGAAGTTAGACTGTTGCAATACATTCATTGCGTAAAGTTGTTGCAACAAGATTTTATCTTGTGTGACATTGCACATTTGATATTTGGTTCACTGCATTTTGTGCTTAGCACCCACATAATAACAGTGTGTCCAGCCCACATAGCCTGAAGTGGTTTTGCCCTCTCCGACTGTCAGGGGGGAGATTTCTCTCGACGAAGGCATTTGAGGGGGCCACCATGTTGGTAATGAGGCGGCTGATTACTGACCAGTTCCTAATGAGCCACAGCCATGCAGCTGTTGGAGGCTGTGGGAAAGTAGGGTGGCCCCATCATTATCTAACCCGAGGTTAGGTGGAGGGAAAGCGTAGATGAAGAGGATGAAGGGGAGAGGAAGGTGACCATCTGTTCGAGACATGATTTTGCCATGACTAAGATGCCTCCTTAGGCCTCATTCCAATCTTCGGAGAATCATCATGTCTGTGTGGTTTACGGCGGATGACTAGATGCTTTATCACAGGTGGATCCTGACCTGACTGTCAGCTTAGCTTCCTCCTTTGGTATACTTGGACTGCACATGTGATCTGTAGTTGGTACTTGTTGTATAAAGTCATTAAAAAATGTTTTAAAGAACATTTTTGAAATGGCTCTGATATTATGTACTATGATGGAGCCAGGTGGCAGATACCTCACCAAAGGGACAGTCTACTCCTAATATATAGGATATCTATATGGCCAATATCTCCAACACTGATCAACTCAAACTTGAACAATCTTTAGTGGATAGATAGTAAATAGTGCATAGGTAAAAGGTAAAATATGTCTTTTTTTATTTTGAGGGTAATTGTCCCTTTAAAGACTGAGAGCAGGGGGAAACTGCTAGCATGGCTTTCAAGGAACTAGAATAAATAATGCTTAACAGCCTCTAAAGCTCACTAATTATCACTTGGAGAACAACAGCTGGATGCAGTGACTATACATAGTTTTTAAGGAGTTACACCACAAAAATATCCTTATAACCTGATGATCCCGACTTGTACCTAGTGCCATCACCAACAACTGCAAAAGCAAACTCTATCCGGATAAAAGTCCACTATGATATGTTGCTTTGGTTTCCTTTAAGTTACTTGAGTCGTCAGTTTGCAACATGATGTGATAATATTTGTCCTGTAACACCATGTTCATGCTGATGTCATTCTGTGGTTTGGAGAAGTGAAATAAGTCAGACACTCAACAAGTTTCCACTTAAGATTACAAAAAAACAAAAAGGTGCTCATTACACTTCAATCACATTTACTATATAAAAACACTTTTTGTACACAGTTTTATTATTTTTACTAAAGGGGATGAGGAAACAAGGCGGTAGGAATTTCCATGATGTAAAGGGTGTGAGGTTGAGGCTGTTATGTTCAGTCTTACTGCACGCGAAAATGTACAGCAGGAGTTGCAGAAGGTAAGCGCAGGGCAATTCTTGTCACAGAGATTCTGTAATCCACAATTTGGAAAGGGTTCAGCTCATTTTTCAGTGTTCTCTTAACTAGTTTAAACACTTGAGACATAACAAGTGAGTTTGAGTCTTTTAGACAAGCAGATGTCCTCAGCCAAGTCTGATTCTTCTCCTTGCCATAAGGATGAATCAAACAGCAGTAACAAACCCTGGTGCATGATTAGACATCTGGCTGTCCACCTGCTCTGATAGCTTACACATTTAGACATTTTTTTCCAATGAGAGGAAGAACACCATTTGAGGTAACTGCTTTTCAAAGAGGCCAGCAGCACTGTCCATTCAAACACGTTGTGGCCCAGAGCAGAGAGAGAAGCCTGGGCGTGAACAGTAGCTTCTACCTTTATAATTCAGCCTGGGAAGAC